CGGTGCTGCTGGCTACCGCCGCCGTTCCCTGTCCTCCTTGCCGAGTTAATAAATGGAAATCTTTCTAGACGGTCTACTCCTGTTCCTATGAAAGCCGGGAATTGTAACCCCGGGGCTTGGCTTTGTTCTGTGCTGTGGAGTGCAAGGCCCAGCCGAGGAGGAGCGAGCCCCAAGAGTCGATGCTAAAAGAGGGGGGGGGGAAAAAGGCAAAACAAACAAAATAAGTCATAATAATCACGTCGGAGGAATTTGCAGTAACTTTTATTTCTGCCGGTATCTAAACTTCCCGCTAGCTAGCGAACTAACTGCTTGTGAGACCTCTACTTGGAAGACACCCCCTCCCCAGCCCCCTGCCTGGAATGAAGCCTAAGCCCAGCCTAGGAGAGGATGCGGAAGCAGCTTTCCCCGTGCCCAGCCCTGCCCCGCGCCGGCCCTGCCGCCCCGGCCAGTGGAGGGAGGCTCAGGGCTACCTCTTGTCACGGCAAAAAAAAGGTAACTTAGTTAAATTGGTCGGGATAAACTAAAACCCGAGGCTGGATCTACCCTAGGCGGGTGTCAGCGGCTTTGCTGAGAGCTTCCCCGGGGAGCTGCTGGTGCGGTGGCCGCGCGGGGCAGGGCCAAAGCTGCGCTTCCCGCTCGCCGACTCGGATGGTGGAAAAACAGCATCAATTTAAGGTCTAGGATTAATTCCCATGCCTACGATTTTTTTACTTAATCTTTTAATATTTTTGCTACTCCACTCTGGCTTTTTATTTAAAACACATTCTTTTGTACCACTTACTGTATCAAATTGTATAAAAGATCACTGTCCCATTCTTGGTCATACCAAGAGCAAATAAAAGCTTTTATAAACTTGCATTGGTTACTTCCTCAGTCCCGTTAAATTCCCTCTCGCCGAGCCTTGGCCAGGGCACCGGTGGCCCTGGGTGCCGACGAATTGATGGAACCCGGGGAGCGGAGGCTGATCTCTGCTTCGGGGCTGGTCGGCTGGGGGCAGAGCCCTTCCTTTCTGTCTTTTCTGTAGGAAAAGCTTTAAGCTGGGATTTTTCCAGGGCAGGATGGTGCCGCGAAGGGCAGCGGCGTGCCTGAGGCTCCCCGCGTCGGCCTGGTGCTAACGCGGAGCCTC